TTAAAAAAAAAAAAAAAGTGATTATAATAATAATAATAATAATTGGGAAAGTGTATTGAGAGTGTCAGAGTAGACAGCACAGCTATCTCTCCATGTGATTGGCGCGGGCTAACAGCTTTCACTTGTTCCACAGCTTGGACAAGTTGGGGTCCCGTTTGGTTGCAATTTAATTAATAACGCTCTTTTCTTGTTTATTCTATTATAGTAGTGGACAAGGGACAAGTTGGGAGCAGGTACCAAGGGCAAAATGGTAAAATCAGAAGCACAAGCATTCATGAATCCAAACAAGCGTGGACCCCCCCCAGTGTCAGGACCGTTGAATGTGAGACTTACTATGAAAACGGTTAATCCCAAGGGCCATGATCCACACAATATTTTTTTAAAAGGCCAAAGTACCACGGAAAAGTACTTTAAATTCCTTCCCACCAAACAAGGCACTGCAGACACACATGATGGATGATGGACACTTAGGAGTTATGAACACACCACACACAAACGCACCCTTAATTAATGGGGTGAGTTTTGAGACGTGTTCGACTCCATGTCTTACCTGTATCTCACATGTTTGGATCCGCAATTAAGGTGGTCAGTGGAGATAATTAACACGTTTTGCCATTGCCACCCCACAAATTTTGTAACCCCTCCTCAATCTCCATGCATGTTTTAATTTGCCTTATTTTGACCAAACTTGTTGTTTAAGTGTGGTTTCCTTTAAAGTAAAGGTTTCAATATTCAAAAACTCTCCATGCATGTTACCTTCCCCAGAATTTCCCTTTAATGACTTTTTATTTTTCTCCTTGGTTTTCTCAGCAATGGGACGTTAGGTGTGGAAAATTGTAACATCTATGCTTAATATATATATATATATATATTTTTTTCTTCTTTCTATTTGAATAAATAAAACTTTTATTTGAATACGTTAAAACGTAAACTTTACTTTAATTTGAATAAATTATGATTTTATTTGAATATGTTAAAATGTGAAAAAGTTTTTATTTATTTAAATAAATAAAACTTTTATTTGAATACATTAAAACGTAAACTCATTAGAATAAAAGTATAGTTTCATTCGAATAAAATAATAAAATTACATTTATTCAAATGAAAGTTTAAAATTTATTTATTTATTTTAAATTTATTATTTTAACTAATTTTTAATCTAAAAATATTATTTAAAAATTATTTACTTACTTTTAATTAGTTATTTATTTTATTTCAAAATATTATTTATTTAGTTATATAATTTTGGCTAAAACCATTAATTAATTTAGGACTAAATTGAAACCAATTAATTAGTTTGGGACCAAATTGAGACAAAACATTAATGAGGGACTAAATTGAAACAAAAAAAATTTATAAGGCTATTCAGATTCAATAATAAGAAATTATTCATATTCAAGTTTTATAGATTATTATTATTATTATTATTATTATTGTTATTGTCAGGTTGCATGGAATTTATAAAATTCAATTGCTTCCTTGCCTCTACAACATTAAATATTTAATAAAATTATATTTCTTGTTTGAATCTCTTGCCTTTATCAATTGCTGCTGATTTGTCACCATGATTTTCAATTGCATGACAATAAATAATTTTGTGCGTGAACAGACACATAATTAACTTGTGCAAATGCGAAAATCAAAGGTATTATCTGTTTTATTTTGTTGTCGTCTGCTCAAACCTGAGGAATATCCTTTTTTGCATTAAACTCATATGCTGGTGTCTTCAGCTCTTTGATATGTGTCACTGCGAATTCTGCTTCTAGTGGTATTTCTTCTTGACTATGTTCATCAACAGCTTCGTTATCAATTGATGCTGCATTTGATAATGTTTTTGGGGCTGTATCTTCATGCACACCTATCATTATACAAGTGAGATATTCAATGTAATCATTGACACAAGGTTGTGTACAATATTATTTTAAATTTTTAATACATCTTTTGCCACATCTAGCTACTTTATGGAGCTACAGAATTGCTATTTGTATGCGTTGAAATATGACACAATTCTGTTGTGATTTGAAGCAGATTTAGGAGATATGATTTGTATTTACTATGATATCCTATTTCTAGGAAAGTAGAAAACATGCTGCATTTCTGGTAATTAGCATCCCGTAGGATTACATCCCTTGATTTTGATTAATCCTTTCTGATTTTAGCCTATCTTGTATCTATGTATATTCATACACGCTTTGTACAGAATTAATGAATAAGAAAAGAAACACATTTTTCTGTCGTATCTATGTTTCAAGTGTTTATTTTCTTTACTTTGGAGGAAATATATGTGCTGTGTTTGTTTCTAGGATATCAAGTAAATCAATACAAAAATTTCAAAACTTACTTTCGATTTTTGATTTTTGTATATCCACTTCAGTCAATTGTATAGCATCTGTTGCTTCCTCTGCTGTGATATTATTTGCATCCTTGATCTCTAAATTACTAACCGTGTGTGCGTCTACTGTCTTCTGCTCATCCACATTGTAACATAATTTTGTATTGCTCTGTGACGTCACAAGTTCTGCATTTATATAATTTGTAATCGCACTCTGCATGCTTGATGCTTCTGACTGGTGGTCAGCTTGTTCTTCTTTTACTGTGCTGATGTTGGCCATGGCTTCAGGTTGATCAGGGTCCTGTTTGAATATATACAATACAAGTAAAAAATTTGTATAATAAGTTAAAAATTTAATGATTCTTTTTTGTTCATAGCAAGTGGATATGTATGTAGTTTTTACTTGTTTACTTCACTACTGCCTAACCTCAATGACAATGCACATTCTTTGAAGTTTGTTTTCTGATATGCAGCTCTTGGCATTATCTATTGCTTCTGATTCATCATCCTGAAGTGTTTGTTGATGTAAGATTTGATCAGTGTCACCTTGGGCGATTGCAGGAGTGGGCAATTTTGGCTGGACTTCTGCCTTTGGTAGGCCTGTCATTATACATGTGAGATGCTTCTATAGTCTTTTTTTCTTTCAATGATTCAGACAGACATCTTGTTTGGAAAACTTAAAATTAGTACTGTACTGTCATGCCACTGTATTACTGGGGACAAAACTATTGTAGTCACTTATAATGCTGCCCTCAATAATGTATTTTTACTTTGGGCAAGTAATTTATTTTCTTGTGACATTTTTTTTTACATGTGGATATTTGAAAAAAAAAGCCTTTTATAGATGATTTGGGCAGAGAAACAGAATTATGTGATTCTGTTGTATACAACTAGAATTAAGGTTTGCTATTATTTCTTTCCTTTTTTAGGTGCCACTTTTTTAAGAAGAATTATTTTCTCCTGATTGTTATGTCAAATCAGTACATAATATATTCTCCTGATTCTTGACTCCAAATCAGTACAAAATATATTGTCAGTTTTCAGTCCAAATTGGTGTATATAATATGCCTTATATCTCCTATGTATTTGCATTGTGCTGGTTCCACAAGTGAGAAATACAATTCACTTTTTAATACTTTTAAAGCGAAAAAGTAATTTTCTCTGTTCAAAATGAAACCAACAAATAAGCAATAATAATTTGTGAATTTTGAGCACATACTTTCTATTGCAGAGATTAGTAACTTCATTTTAGCTGCTTCTTCAATCCCTTTTGCTTCCTCCCCATGGAATTTTCCATCATCCTCAATCCCTAGTTTCTCCTTCACCTGAGATGATGGAAAATTTTCTTGTTCCTCAGTATCATTACTAGACTTTATTTCTGCAGTTTCTCCATATGAATATGGTTGCTTTATGAAAGTGTTCTCCACGTTCTTTACTGCAGGCAGGGAGTCTGATTTCTGTTCATTTCCTGCATTGAGCTGGCATGTCTCTTCCTGTTCCCCATATGCGGGTTTCAACAAATATTGTGTCAGAGCTTGAAGATGTTGTATTCAGTGACAATAAATATTTATATCTATATATATATATATTGTGTGTGTGTATGTGAATGGGCATATAATTTACTTGTGCATGTGTGCAAATAAAAGATATGATGTTTTATTTTTCTTGGTTTAGTTTGTTGTAGTTTGCTCAAACCTTAGGAATGTCTTTTTCTGCATCGTATTCATATTGTGGTTTCCGGACCTCTTTTGTAAATATCACTGCAAAATCTACTTCTAGTTGTCTCTCTTCTTCTTGACTACTCTCATCAATCGCCTCGTTTCCAACTGATGCTTTGTTCGGTAATATTTGCAGCACTTTATCTTCTGGCACACCTATTGTTATAGAAATGAGATATTGAAAGCAATCATTTTCACATGGAAGCATATGTTACGATTTTAATACATCTATATATTCTCTGGAAAATTTAAGAAGTCCCAATGCCACAGCAAGCTGCTTCATGGGGCAACAAAATTACTATTTATATGAAATCATCCACATATACAAGTGAATGAAACTGTGTCATCTAAAGATGCAAATTTAATTTAATTTTTATGTGGATTAATTCTTTTATTTAAAGTGACGTGTTTATTTATCATTTCCTAGCATGTTTATATACTATAAGCATTATGTTTGTTTCTTGGTTTTGGTTATCACGTCAAAATAAATGCTAAAACTTCAAAATTTAATTACCTTTGGTTTCTGATTTTTGTCCCTCCACTTTAAGTAGTTGTTTGGCATCTTTTGCCTTGTTTTCTGTTATATTACTTGTATCCTTGTTCTCTAAATGCTCTACTGTGTGTGATTCTTCTTTCTTCTGTTCATCCACATTATAACTAAAATTTGTACTGCTATCTGATTGCACTTGTTCTTCTGCAGTTATGTGATTTGTAATCACACTCAGCTTGCTTGATCCTTCTGATTGATGGTACGCTTGTTCTTCTTTTACTAAGATGACATTGGCCTTGGTTTCAGGTTGATCATGTTCCTGTTTGAATATATAATATTATTAATATATGAGTATAAAATTTGAATAACTAATTAAGAAGACAAATGTTGATTTTTTTTTTACTTGTTTACTTCACTACTGCCTAACCTCAACAACAATGGACATTCTGTCAAGTTCTTTTTCTGGTATGCATTTCTTGGCATTATCAACCACTTCTCCTTCATTCTTGTGCAGTGTGTGTTGCGGTAAGATTTGATTGGTGTCACCTTGGGCAATAACAGGAGTGGCCAATTTTGGTTGGACTTCTTCATGTGGTAGACCTGTCATTATACACGTGAGATGTTTCTTTAGTGTCACTTTTTAGTGATTCTGAAAGACATCTTGTCTGGATTTCTACTACTAATTAAGGACAAAATTATTGTTGTTACTTAGAATACTTCCTCCATCATACAATATTTTTGCTTAATGTAACTCATTTGTTTTCATTAAAAAATTTGGCATCAAATGCCATTTCTCAGCAAAAAATCATTTTTCCTGAGGATATTTGAAACTTGAAAGAACAATAAAATTTTGAAATGGAAGCCTGAAGCTTCTCTGGTGAGAATGAAGAAAATGAAACTGACTAAAAGTAATAAAAGTTCTTGAATTTTAAGCGCATACTTTCTGTTGCAATGTTTAGTAATGACACTTTATTTGCTTCTTCAATTCCATCTGCTTCCTCTTGATCAAATTTACCATCTTCCTTGATCTGTTGTTGCTCCTTGGCATAAGACACTTGAACATCTTGTTCCTCTGTATCATTATTGGGGTTTATTTTTGCAGCCTCTCCATCTGAATGCAGTTGCTTTGTGAAAGTGGTCTCCTCGTTCTGCACTGCAGATTTTGATTCTGATTTATGTTTGTTTTCTGCACTGAGCTGACATGTCTCTTCCTGTTCCCAATATGCCCGTTTCAAAAAAATTGTGTTAGAGCTTGAAGATGCTGAATTTTGTGCTATTAAATTGTATATTTTTTGTGAGTGTGAATGGGCACATAATTTACTTGTGCAAGTGTGATAATAAAATATATTATTTTATTTTTTCTAGTTTAGTTTGTTTGTTGTAATTTGCTCAAACCTCATGAATGTCCTTTTTCAAATCGAACTGATATTGGAGTGTCTGCACCTCTTTGGTATATGTCACTGCTAATTCTTGTTCTGACTGTATCTCTTCTTGACTACTCTCACCAACTGCTTCGTTTATGACTGATGATGCTGCAGTGGTTAATGTTTGCAGGGCTTTATTTTCAGGCACATCTGTCGATATAGAAGTGAGATATTGAAAGCAATCATTTACCAAGGATGCACATATTATGACTTCAATAGATCTATATGTTATCTTCAAAATTAAAAAGTCCCAGTGCCCCCAACAAGCTGCTTTATGGGGCCAAAGAAGTACTATTTATGTGTTATCATCTACATATTGAAGTGAATGAAATTGTGAGTCATCTGAAACACTATTTTTCTTACTTTTATGTGGATTAAACTAATAAATAATTTTTCTTTCATCTAAAGTCGCGTTTATTTTTCTTTTCCTGCAATGAATTCTAAACTTAATTACCTTCAATTTCTGATTTTTGTATCTCATCAGTCAATTGTTTAGCATTTGTCACTTCCTCTAGTGTGATATCACTTGCATCCTTGTTCTCTAAATTCTCAATGGATTGTGGTTTTACCATCTTCTGTTCATCCACATCATAACTTAATTTTGTACTGCTTTTTGATGTCACGTGTCCTTCTGATGCTGCAAAATTTGTAGTCACACTTTGCATGCTTGATCCTTCTGATTGGTTGTCTGCTTGTTCTTCTTTTACTATGCCAACGTTGGGCTTGGTTTCAGGTTTATTAGGTTCCTGTTTGAATATATACAACATAAGTATAAACTATGTATAACAAGAAAATAAATGATTTTTTTAATCAGCAAGCAGATGTATTTGTAATTTTATTTGTTTACTTTAATACTGCCTAACCTCAACAACAGTGGACATTTTGTCAATTATGATTTTGGGTATGTCGTTGTCTGCAGTATCAACTGCTTCTGATTCATTGTCCTGAAGTGTTTGTTTCTGTAAGATTTGTTCAGTGTCATCTTCGACAATTGCAGGATTGTGGAGTTTTGGCTGGACTTCTTCTTCTGGCAGTCCTGTCATACATTTTAGATGTTTATATAGCATTATAGCTATTCTTTTTCTTTTTTGTAGCTATTCTGACAGACATCTTGTCTGGAAACATAAAATTTCAATCGTACTTCCATGCCTTTCTACTAGTAATGGCAAAGTTATTGTAGTGACTTATAATGCTTCTCCCACCATACATTACTTTTGTTTAGTGTAAGTTATTTATTTCCTTTTGAAATTGTAAATGGTAAATGCCATTTCAGAACAAAAACAAATATTGTTTTGCTTGAGAAGAGTTGAACAACAGTAAACTTCAGAAATGGCAGCCTTAAGTTTCACGGGTCAAAATAAAACTGAGTATCAAGTAATAAAAATGTCAATTTTTGAGAACATACTTTCTATTTCAGTGTTTAGTAACTGCATTTTTGTTGCTTCTTCTGTCCCTTTTGCTTCCATTTGATCAAAATTTTCATCACCCTTGATCACCACTTTCTCCTTGGTGTGAGAAGATGGAACCTCTTGTTCCTGTTTATCTTTAGAGGGGTTTACATCTTCAGTTTCTCCATCCGGATATGGATGATCTATGAATGTGGTCTCCTTGTTCATTACTGCAGTCTGGGATTCTAATTTCTGTTCATTTTCCACATTGAGTTGGCATGTCTCTTCCTGAATCCCATGTCAGTTTAAAAAAAAAAAACTGTCAACACATGAAGGTGGCATATTCCGTGACAATAATTTTGTTTTTTGTTTTTTAATTTACAGAACTGATTTACTTATGCAAGTTTGAAAGTTAAAGTTACTATTTATTTTAGTTTTTCTAGTTTAGTTTCTTGTAGTCTGATCAAACCTCAGGAGTGTCTTTTTCTGCATCGAATTCTTCTTGTGGTATCTGCTCCTCTTTGGTATATGTCATTATTAATTCAGCTTCAAGCTGTATCTCTTCTTGACAACTCTCATTAACTGCATCGTTTCCAACTGATGTTGTAGTAGGCAATGATTGTAGGTCTTCATCTTCAAGCACACCTATCAATATAGATATGAAATGTTGAAAACAATAATTTACACAGCTGTTTATGTTACACTTGTAATACATCTATATGTTCTGTGTTAATTAGAAAGGTACTATTGCCGCAAGAAGCTTCTTTATGGGGCCATATAATTACTATTTATGTATTGTAATCCACCTATAGAGGTGAATAAATGTGTCACTAATCTAATGAGACCGATTTTTTATTGGTATGTGGATTCAAGAATTTTTATTTCATCTAAATTCATGTTATTATTTTTCTTTTGGGGGCATGAATATATGCATTGCGTTTGTTTTTAGCTTTTGGTTTTCAATTCTAAAATTTCAAAACTTAATTAACTTTAGCTTCTAATTTTTGCATCACAACGTCAGTAGGCTGTTTGGCATTTGTGGCTTCCTCTAATGTGATTTCACTTGCATCCTTATTCTCTAAATTCTCTATGAAGTGTGGTTCTACTGTCTTCTCTTTATCAACATCATAACTTAATTTTGTACCGCATTCTGCTATCACATGTTCTTTTGATTGGTTGTCTGCATGTTCTTCTTTTACTATGCTCGTGTTGGCCTTGGTTTCAGGTTGACCAGGTTCCTGATTGAATATATACAATATAAGAATGAAATTTGTATGACAAATTGAGATCATAAATGATATTTTTTTCACAAATCAGGAATATATTTGTAATATTTACTTGTTTATATTACAACTACCTTACCTCAACAACAGTGGACATTCTGTCATGTTTGTTTTCTGGTCTGCAACTCATGTCATTATCAATCGCTTCTGATTCATCATTGTCTAGTTTTTGTTGCTGTGAGAGTTGGTGTGTTTCATGATGGACAGCTGCAAGAATCGGCAATTTTGGCTGGACTTCTTCCTTTGGTAGACCTGTCATGATAGATATGATATGTATGTATTTCTTTCTTCTGTGATTCTTATATACAACTTGTTGGGAAAACCTCAAATTTCTACCATACTACCATGCCATTTTACTACTAAGGGCAAAACTATTTTAGCAATTCTTAATATTTTTTTTATGATATGGTATTTTTCTTACTGTAAGTCATTTGTTTCCATTAAAATCTGTGAGTGTCAAATGCCATTTCTCTGCAATAATTTGTTAGCTTTATGATATTTGAAAAAAGAACTTTCAAAATAGAAACCTAAACTTTCCTGGTACAAAATGAAAATGACTATCAAGTAAAAACTTCATCAATTTGGAGCACATACTCTCTGTTGCAGTGTTTGTTAATTGTGCATTTGTTGGGTCTTCAATCCATTTTGCTTCCTCATGATCAGATTTCCCATCACCCTCAATCACTAGTTTCACCTTGGCATCAGATGCTGGAACTTCTTCTTGTTCCTTTGTATCATTAGTGGGGTTTATTTCTGCGGTCAATTCCTCTGAATGTTGTTTCTTAGTGAATGACATCTCCTTTTTCTGTGCAGTAAGCTGGGATTCTGATTTCTGTTCATTTCCCTCACTGAGATCCGTAGCTTCCTGTACCAAATATGTTGGTTTCAACAAAATAGTCAGAGCTTAAAGTGATTCTGAATTGTGTAGCACTCAAATGTATTTTTATTTTTATATTGTGTGTGAATGTTATATCATTTACTTGTGCAATTGTGAAATAAGAGGTATTATTTGTTTTATATTTTCTAGTTTAATTTGTTTTAAATTACTCAAACATCAGGAATCTCCTTTTTGACAACAAATTTATATTGCAGTAGTGTCTGCACCTCTTTGGATGTCACTTTCAATTCAGCTACTGGTTGTATCTCTTTTTGACTATTCCCATCAACTGCTTCATTTTCGACTGACACTGCAGTGGACAATGATTGACGGGCTTCTTCTTCAGGCACACCTATCGATATAGATATGAAATATTGAAAGGAATCATTTACATAGGCAGAATATGTTACTGTTATAATACATCTATATGTTCTCTGAAAATTATAAAGGTCCTAGTGCTGCAAGAAGCTTCTTTATGGGGCCCACATAATTACTATTTATGTGTCATCATCCACATAGAGAAGTGACTTAGTTATTGTGTAATCTAATTTTATTTTTATTTTTATGTCTGTGAATACTGTATTGAGATCAGTTAAAATAACTGATCTCTTGGGTTAGTTTTCTGTTTCTTAATCAGGTGGGTTAGATCTCTGTTATGTTGTAATCAATTGAGTTAACATTCAGTTAGGTTAGTTTGTTGTTGTAATAACATCCCTATATATATACATAGGGTGTAACAGAAATATATGATGAATAACAGAATATCATTTTCCAAATCTGTTTGCAATTCTTTCTCTCTCTCTACTCTAACAATGTCTGTTAATGAATTATTCATACATCTAAATTCATGTGATTATTATTCTTTTCAGGACATGAATATGGGCATTATGTTTGTTTCTTGCTATTGGTTTTCGACTTCAATTCGATGCTGAAATTTCAAACTTAATTACCTTTGGTTTCTGACTTTTGTATCTCCACATCTGTCAACTGTTTTGCATCTGTTTCTTCCTCTAATGTGATTTCACTTGCATCCTTGTTCTCTAAATTCTCTACGGAGTGTGGTTCTACTGTCTCCTTTTCATTCACATCATAACTTAATTCTGTATTGCTTTCTGCTGTCACATGTCCTTCTGTTTGGGTGTTTGCTTGTTCTTCTTTTACAATCTTGACGATAGCCTCTGTTTCAGGTTTATCAGGTTCCTGATTTGATATATATACAATATAAGAATGAAATTTGTATAACAAGTTAAGAGCATGACTGACTTTTTTTTTTTTTTTTTTTTCACAGCACACCAATATATATGTAATATACATTACTGCTGCCTAACCTCAACAATAGTCAACATTTTTTCAAGTTCATTTTCTGCTATGCAAGTCTTGTCATTTTCAATCATTTCTGATTCATCATCTTCAAGTTTTTGTTGCTGTGAGAGTTGGTCTGTGTCACGTTGGACAACTGCAGGAGTTGGCAAATTTGGCTGGGCTTCTTCCTCTGATAGACCTGTAATTATGCATGTGAAATGTTTGTATTTCTAATGTATTTGTTTTTCCAGTGATTCTGATACACGATTTGTTGGAAAAATCTCAAATTTCTACCATACTACCGTGCCATTTTACTACTAAGGACAAAGTTACTATAGTAACTTTTAATATTGCCCCTATGATGCAGTATTTTTGCTTAGTGTAGGTGCCAAATGCCATTTCTAAGTAAAAATGGTTTTCTTTAGAATATTTGGAAAAACTATGAACTTTTGAAATGGATGCCTAAATTTTGGTGGCATAAAATGTATCTGACGACTATCAAGTAAAAAGCTTCATTAATTTGGTGCACATACTTTTTGTTGCAATGTTTTGTAATTGCGCTTTTGTTTGTTCTTCAATCCAGTTGTCTTCCTTTTGATTGGATTTCCCCTCGTCCTCGAACACTAGTTTCTCTTGTGCATCAGATGTGGGAACTTCATCTCGTTCCTTTGTATCCTTAGTGAGGTTTATTTCTGCTGTCGCTTCCTCTAAATGTGGCAGCAGAGTGAATGTGATCTCCTTGTTCTGTGTTGGAAGCTGGGATTCATATTTCTGTTCATTTTCCTCACTGAGCTCTGTCTCTTCCTGTACCAAATATGTAGGTTTCATCAAATATTGTCAGCTTAAAGATGCTGAATTATGTGGCAATGAGATGTACTTTTATTTATTTTTTGTGTGAATGGACATCAATTCATTTATATGTTCAGGTGTGAAAATAAGAGGCATTATTTGTTTAATTTTTTTCTAGTTTGGTTTGTTATAATATGCTCAAACATCAGGAATTTCATTTTTGACATCAAATTCATATTGGTGTTTGTACCTCTCTGGATGTTGTTACCAATTCAGCTTTTGGTTGTATCCATTCTTGACTACTCTCATCAAATGCTTCATTTCTGACTGATGCAGCGGTGGGAAATGATTGTATGGCTTCATCTTCAGGCACACCTATGAATATAGATATATAATATTGAAAATAATCATTTAAAAAGTTGCATATGTTACTCTTTAATACATCTATATGTTATCTGATAATTAGAAAGGTCCTAGTGCTGCAAGTAGCAACTTTATGGGGCCACATTATGACTAATTTTGTATTATCATTACATATAGAACTGAATAAAATTTTAGGTTATCTAATGACACTAAATTTTTATTTTTATGAACATTTAAGATTTTTTCTTTCATCTAAATTATTGTGATTGTTTTTCTTTTTGGTACATGAATAAATGCATTGTGTGTGTTTCTAGCTTTTGGGTTTCAATTCTACAATTTCAAAACTTAATTACCTTCGATTTCTGATTTTTGTATCTCCAGATCAGTCAACTGTTTGGCATCTGTTGCTTCTTCAAATGTGATTTCATGTGCATCCTTGTTCTCAAGATTTTCTATGGAGTGTGGTTTTATTGTATTATGTTCATCTGCATCATAACTTAATTTTGCACTGCATTTTGGTGTCACATGTCCTTGCGATTGGTTGTCTGCTTGTTCTTCTTTTCCTATGTTGACGTTGGCCTCGGTTTCAGTTTGATCTTGTTCCTGATTGAATATATACAATACAAGAATGAAATTTGTATTGAAAGTTAAGAATATAAATAATTTTTTTTGCTCGGCACATGAATATATATGTAATATTTACTTGTTTGCATTAGTACTGCCTAACCTCAACAACAGTGGACATTCTGTCAAGTTCATTTTCTGGTTTGCTGCTTTTGTCATTTTCAATCGCTTCTAATTCATCATTGTCCAGTTTTTGTTTCTGTGAGAGTTGATCTGTGTTATGTTCGACAACTGCAGGAATCAACAATTTTGGCTGGACTTCTTCCTCTGGTAGACCTGTCATTATACATGTGAATTTTTTGTATTTCTAATGTATTTCTTTTTTCAATGATTTTGATACATAACTTGTTGAGAAAAACTTCAAATTTCTACCATAATACAGTGCCATTTTACTACTAAGGACAAAGTTATTGTAGTAGCTTTTAATATTGCTCCTATAATACAGTATTTTTTCTTAGTGTAACTCATTTGTTTGCTATAGAAATTTTAAGCACCAAATACGATTTCTCAGAAAAAAGGCTTGCTTTAGGATATTTGAAAAAACTATGAACTTTTAAAACGATGCCTAAATTTTTTAGGGACAAAATGAAACTATCAAGTAAAAAAGTTTGTGAATTCGGAACTCATACTTTCTGTTGCAGTGTTTGGTAATTGTGCTATTGTTGGGTCTTCAATCAATTTTTCTTCCTCTTGATCTAATTTCCCATCATCCTCGATCACTAGTTTCTTCTTGGCTTCAGACTTTGGAACTTCTTGATCCTCTATATCAATAGTGATGTTTGTTTCTGCTGTCACTTCATTTGTTTGCGTTTGCTTAGTTAATGTAATCTCCATGTTCTGTGCTGCAAGATAGGATTCTGGTTTCTGTTCATTTTCCACTCTAAGTTTCTCTTCTCCCTGTGTCCAATATTTTGGTTTCAACAAAAACTGTACTATAGCTTAAAGATGCTAAATTGTGTGTCAATAAAACATATTATTTACTTGTGTATGAATGGACACATAATTTACTTGGGAAAGTGTGAAAATAAAAAGGTATTATTTGTTTTATTTTTCTATTTTAGTTAGTTGTAAGCTACTCAAACCTTAGGAATCCCCATTTTGACATCAAATTCATGTTGTGGTGTTTGCACTTCTTCCAATTCAGCTTCTGGCTGTATCCCTTCATGACTTCTCTCATCAACTGCTTTGTTTACAACCAATGCTGTAGTGGGCAATGATTGCAGTAAATCATCTTCAAGCACACCTATCAATACAGATGTGAAATATTGAGTTTACACAAAGCTACTTATGTTACGCTTTTTAATATGTGTATACGATGTTCTATGAATATATGCATTTTGTTTGTTTCTTGCTTTTGGATTTCCACTCAAATTTGATGCTAAAATTTTAAAACTTCATTACTTTTGGTTTCTGATTTTTGTATCTCCACATCAGTCAACTGTTTGGCATCTGTTGCTTCATCTAATGTGATTTCACTTGCATTTTTTTTCTCTAAATTCTCTACGGAGTGTGATTCTACTGTCTTCCATTCATCCGCATTGTAATATAATCTTGTACTGCTTTCTGCTACATGTCCTTCTGATTGGTTGTTGGCTTGTTCTTTTACTATGCAAATGTTGGTCTCAGATTCAGGTTGACCAGGCTCCTGATTGAATATATACAACATAAGAATGAAACTTTGTATAACAAGTTAAGAATATAAATGATTCTTTTTTCACAGCTCACACATGTAATATTTACTTTTTTACATTACTACAGCCTAACCTCAACAACAATGGATGTTCTTTTAAGTTCACTTTCAGATATGCGGCTCTTGCCATTTTCAATAGCATCTGATTCATCATTGTCAAGATTTTGTTTCTGTGAGAGTTTTTCGTTGTCACATTGGACAACTGCAGGAATTGAGAATATTGGCTGGACTTCCTCTGATAGACCTGTCATTATACATGTGAAATGCTTGTATCACTAATGTGTTTCTTTTTTCGGCGATTCTAATAGACAATTTGTTTGGAAAACAAAATTCTTTTACCATGTTGCTGTGCCATTTTGCTAAAAAAATGCACAAAGTTATTGAAGTAACTTTTAGAATTAAATATATTTTTAGTTCCTGAACTTTTGTCAATTTTTGTTTTACTGCCCCTGGTATACAATATTTTTGCTTATTGTAATTAATTTATTGCTTTCAAAATTGTAAGCATCAAATACTGTTTTTGGAGCAAAAATTGGCTTAGAATATTTGACAAAAAGTATAAACTTTTGAAGTGGACGCCTAGAGTTTGATGGGAAAAGTAAAATTGACTATCAAGTAAAAAAATCATGAATTTGGAGCACATACATTCTGTTGCACTGTTCGGTAACTGTGCTTTTGTTGGGTCATCAATCCATTTTGCTACCTCTTGATCAAATGTAGTTGGAACTTCTTGTTCCTTTGTATCAATAGTGGGGTTTATTTCTGTGGTCACTTTATCTGAATGTGGGACCTCAGTGATTGTGATATCCTTGTTCTGTGCTGCAGGCTGTGATTCTGATTTCTGTTCTTTTTTCACACTGAGCTCTGTCCCTCCCTGTAACCAATATGTCGGTTTCAAGAAGTACTGTCAGAGCTTAAAGACGCTGAATTCTTTGACAATAAATTGTATTTTTTTTATTTTTTTATTTTTTTATTTTTGCGAATGGACACATGATTTACTTGTCCAAGTGTAAAATAAGAGGCATTACTTTTTTAAAATTTTTTTCTAGTTTAGTTTTTTGTAAACTGCTCAAACCTCAGGAATCTCCTTTTTGGCATTGAATTCATATTGTGGTGGCTGCACCTCTTTGGTTGTAGATTCCAATTCAGCTTCTAGCTGTATCTCGTCTTGACTACTCTCATTATGTGCTTCATGTCCAATTGACACTGCAGTGGGTAATGATTGCTGAGCTTCTTCTTCAGGAACACCTATCAATAAAGAAATGAGATATTGGAAACAATCATTTATCCAAGGCTGTGTATGTTAGGGCTTTAATACATTTACATGTTATCTGAAAAATAGGAAGGACCTACTACCACAAGTTGCTCCATTATGTAGTCAGATAATCACTATTTGTGTTATCATCCTCATATAGAAGAGAATAAATTTGAGAGTAATCTAAAGACACTAATTTTTATTTTCTATATGGATTATAAAGATTTTTATTTTATGTAAAATCATGTTATTATTTTTCTTTTCCTGCATGAATATATGCATTACGTTTTATCTTGCCTTTGGTTTTCAAGTAAAATTTGGTTTCGAGTTTTTCTATTTCCACATCAGTAAACTGTTTGGCTTCTGTTGCTTCCTCTAATGTGATTTCAGTTGCATCCCTGTTCTCTGAATTCTCTATAGAGCGTGATTGTACTGTTTTCTGTTCATCCTCATAACTTAATTTTGTACTGCTATCTGTCACATGTCTTTCTGATTGGTTGTCTGCTTGTTCTTCTTTTAATGTGCTGATGTTGCCCTCTGTTTCAGGTAGATCAGGTTCCTGGTTGAATAGATAATATATAAGAATAAAGTTTGTACAAGTTAAGCATATAAATGATTTTTTTCTCACAACACGCAGATATATATGTAATATTTACTTGTTTACATTACTACTGCCTAACCTCAACAACAGTGGACATTATTTCAAGTTCATTTTCTGGTATGCAGCTGTTGTCATTTTCCATCACTTCTGATTCATCGTCAAATTTGAGTTGCTCTGAGAGGTTGTCTGTGTCATGTTGGACAACAGCAGAATATGGAAATTTAAACCGGACTTCTTCTGGTAGTCCTGTCATTTATGAAATTCTTTTTTAGTGTTTCTGATAGATAACTTGCACCAAAACTTGAAATTTCTACCATTTTGCTTTGCCATTTTTCTTAAATTGCACAAAGTTACTGTAGAATTTTTTAATACTTCCCCTATGATACAGTGTTTTTCTTAGTGTAAGTCATTTGTGTGCTTTCGAAATTTTAAGCATCAATTACCTCTTCTGAACAAAAATTGTGTTGCTTTAGGATATTTGAAAAACTATGAACTTTTGAAATGTATGCCTATTGTTTCCAACAAAATGTATCTGCCTATTAAGTAAAAAAATTTGTGAATTTGGAGCTCATACTTTCTATTGCAGGGTTTGGAAATAGTGCTTTTGTTGGGTCTTCAACCCATTTTTCTTCTTGATCAGATTTCCCATCATCTTCTGTAACTAATTTCTCCTTGGCAATAGATGTCGGAACTTCTTCTTGATTCATTGTATTGTTGGGGAGGTTTATTTTTGCGATCACTTCATCTGAATGTGGTTCCTCAGTGAATGTGATCTCCTCGTTCTGTGCTGCATGCTGACATTCTGATTTCTGTTCATTTTCCGCACTGAGCTCCATCTGTCCAATACACAGTGTCAACAAATATGTATTAGAGCTTAAAGATTCTGAGTTTTGTGTGTAAATGAGCACATGATTTACTTTTGCAAGTGTGAAAATAAAAGGTGTTATTTATTTATTTATTTTTAGTTTAGTTTGTTGTATAGTGCTCAAACCTCTAGAATCTCCTTTTTTGCATCAAATTCATATTGTGGTGTCTGCATTTTTTTGGATGTCAACACCAATTCAGCTTCCAGCTGTATCTTGTCTTGACTACTCTCATTGAGGGCTTCATTTCTGACTGACACTGTGGCAGGTAATGATTGCAGGGCTTCATTTTGAGGAACACCTATCAATAAAGAAATGAGATAATTGAAGCAATCATTTACACAAGGCTGCATATGTTACTGTTTTAATACATCTGCACGTTCTCTGAAAATCGGAAGGACCTAGTAGCTAGTACTACAAGATGCTGATTTTGGGTTACATAATTACTATTTACTATCTGTGTTATTATCCACATATAGAACAGAATAAACTTGTGAGTATTCTAATGAAACTAATTTTTTATTATGTGTATTAATTTTTTTTCCTTTTTATCTATACTATTTTTCTTTTCCTTCTAGAATATATTCATTACGTTTGTTTCTTGCCTTTGGCTTGAGTCAAATTTGATGCTAAAATTTCAAATCTTAATTACCTTCGGTTTCTGATATTTGTGTCTCCACACCAGTCAACTGTTTGGCATCTATGGTTCCCTCCAATGTTATTTCACTTGCATCTTTGTTCCCTAAATTCTCTACCGAGTGAGATTCTTCTGTCTTTTGTTCATTCACATTATACATTAATCTTGTACTGCTTTCTGATGTCACATGTCTTTCTGATTGGTTATCTGCTTGTTCTTCTTTTACTATGTTGAAGTTGGACATAGATTGAGGTTGATCTGGTTCCTAGTTGAATATATACAATATAGGAATGAAACATTTTTAGAAGTTACAAATATAAATGATATTTATTTCATTCTACATAATGGAGACATGTATTTATATTTGCTTGTTTACATTACTACTGCCTAACCTCAACAACGTTAGACATTATGTCAAATTCGTTTTCTGGTATGCAACTATTGTCATTTTCATTCGCTTCGAATTCAGCATCATCAAGCTTTTGTTGCATTGAGAGTTGGTCCGTGTCATGTTCAACAACTACATGAGTCGGCAATTTTGGTTGGACCTCTTCCTCTACTAGACCTGTCATTATACATGTGAAATGTTTGTATTGCTATTGTATTTCTTTCTCTGTGAAATGTTTGTATTGTTGTTCCATTTTACTACTAGGGACAAAGTTATTCTAGTAACTTTTAAACTAAATTATACCTTTGGTCCTTTATCTTTAAAAAATTCATTTTAGTCCTTTAATTTTTAAATTTAGATTAATTTAGTCCTTTTGAAACATTGATCGTTTTCAATTTTGTGACACGATTTTGATTTTTTTTTTATGATTTATTCTAGATATGAAACTTGTATCATTGGATTCACTTATACAAAAACAATTAAACACAACTGATGTTCAAATAAAAATTAGTCATAAACATGATGTTCAAATTGAAAATAGCTATAAACATGATGGAAATTAATCGCGTGAAAATTAGTCCAATAAGTAACTAGAAAATTTTAAAAAATCTATTATCATATCTTTTCTGGTTACTCATAGGATTTAATTTTCACACGATTTTTGCTATGTTTCTAGCCTTCTTAGGTTGGACGTCAATTGGGTTCAATAGTTTTCATGTACTTGAATCTAAGGAAGCATGTTTTACTTCTTGGATTAGTCAAATAATTATTCAAAATCATGCTACAAAATTGAAAATGGTAATTGTTTTAGGACTAAATTTACTGAAAATTTAAAAGATATAGGACCAAAATAAATTTTGTACAAGATAAAGGAGGACAAAGAATCTTAAAAATAAGATAAATGATCAAAAGTATAATTTAGCCTAACTTTTAATTTTTCCCTTATGACACCCAAATGCCATTTCCTAGAAAAAATTACTTTGCTTTAAGATATTTGAAAAAACTAAGGAATTTTGAAATGGACAACTAAAGTTTCCTGGCACAAAATGAAACTGGCTTTCAAGTAAAAAAAATTGTCAATTTGGGGCACATACTTTCTGATTCAGTATCTGGTAACTTTGCTTCTGTTGGGTCTTCAATCCATTTTGCATCCTCTTGATCAAATTTCTCATCATCCTTGATCACTAATTTCTCCTTGGCATCAGACTTTGGAACGTCTTGTTCCATTGTATCAATAGCGAGGTTTGTTTCTGCTGTCACTTTATCTAAATGCGGTTGTTCAGTGGTTGTGATTTCCTTGTTCTGTGCTTTAGGAAGAGAATTTGATTTCTGTTCATTTTTCGCACCTAGCTTTATCTCTCCCTGTACCTGATATATTGGTTTCAAAAAATACTGTGTCAAAGCTTAAAGATGCTGAATACTTTGACAATGTGTTGTATTTTCATTTTTTCTTGTGTGAATGGACACATGATTTTCTCGTGCAAGTGTAAAATAAAAGGTATTATATGTTTTACTTTATATAGTTTACTTTTATGTAAATTGCTCACACCTCAGGAACCTCCATTTTGGCATCGATTTCATATTGTGGGGTCTGTACCTCATTGGGCTGTATCTCATCTTGACTACTCTCATTATGTGCTTCATTCCTGACTGACACTACAGTCGGCAATGATTGCAGGGCTTCCACTTCAGGATTACCTATCAATAAAGAAATGAGATATTGAAAAAATCATTTATGCAAGGATGTTTATGTTACTTTTTTAATACATTTGTATGTTCTCTAAAAATTATAAAGGATATGTACCACAAGATGCTTCATAATGGGGCCACATAATTACTGTTTATGTTATCATCCACATACAAAGGAGAATAAATTTGAGAGTAACTAATGAAATTATTATTTTTTATGTGGATTAAAGAAGTTTTCTTTTATCTATATTAATGTGATTATTTTTCTTTTCCTGTGTGAATATATGTATTACATTTGTTAGCCTTTGGTTTTCGAGTCATATTTGATGCTAAAATTTCAAACTTAATTACCTTCGGATTCTGATTTTTGTATCTCCATATCAGTCAATTGTTTGGCATCCGTTGCTTCCTCTAATTTGATTTCACTTGCATCTTTGTTCTCTAAATTCTCTATGGAGTGTGATTCTATTGTCCTTTGCTCATCCACTTCATAATTTAATTTTGTACTGCTTTCTGAAGTCACATGTTCTTTTGATTGGTTGTCTGCTAGTTCTTTTACTACACTGACATTTGCCTCAGATTCTGGTTGATCTGTTTCCTGATTGAATATATACAATACAAGAATGAAATTTTTATAACAAGTTAAGAATATATATTTTTTTCCAACATAATGTTGATATGTAAGTAATATTTACTTGTTTACATTACTACTGCCTAACCTCAACAATGGTGGACTTTATGTCAAATTCATTTTCTGATGTGCAACTCTTATCATTTTCAATTGCTTGATATTCATCCTCGTTGACTTTTTGTTGGACTGAGAATTGGTTTGTGTCACATTGGACAGCTCCAGGAATATGCACTTTTGGCTGGTCTTCTTCCTCTTCTAGACCTGTCATTACACATGTGAAATGTTTGTGTTGGTAATGTATTTATTTTTTTAGTGTTCTAATAGCCAAGTTTTTTGGAAAATTCAAATTTCTACCATATTATTTTGGCATTTTACTACAAAGGACAAATATTGTAACTTTGAATAGACCCTTCGGTACAATATTTTTTGCTTAGACTAAGGCATTTGTTTGATTTTTAAATTTTAAGCACCAATCAACATTTCTCTGGAAAACTTAGTTTGCTTAAGGATATTTGAAAAACCTATGATCTTTTGAAATAGACGCCTAAGGTTTCTTGTCACTAAATGAAACTAACTATTATGTAAAAGACTTGGTGAATTTGGAGCACCTACTTTCTATTGGAGAGTTCGGTAACTGTGATTTTGTTGGGTCTTCAATCCATTTTTCTTCCTCTTGATTGGATTTCTTATAATCTTTGATCACTAGCTTCTCCTTGGCATGTGATGCTGGAACTTCTTGTTCCTCTGTATCATGAGTGAGGTTTATTTCTGTAGGCACTTCATCTGATTCTGAACGTGGTTCCACATTAATCTCCATCTCTCCCTGTACCCAGTAAGCCGATTTCAGTAAATACTGTGTCAGTGCTTAAAAATGCTGATTTTGTGACAAAAAGTTGTATTTTTTTTTGTGCATCTGAATGGACACATGATTTACTTGTGCAATTGTGAAATAAAACAAGTATTCTTTTTTGTTTTTATTTTTTATAGTGTAGTTTGTTGTAATATGCTCAAACCTCTGAAATTTCCTTTTTGACATTGAATTCATATTGTGGTGCCTGCACTCCTTTAAATATTACTGCCAGTTCAGCTTCTGGCTGTATCTCTTCTTGATTGCTCTCATCAACTCCTTCATTTTCAACTGACACTGCAGTGGGCAATGATTGTAAAGCTTCATTTTTTGGTATACCAATCAATAAAGATATAAAATATTGAAAGGAATCATTTACCCAAGGCTTTTAATGTTACTGTTTTAATACATCTATATGTTCTCTGAAAATTATAATGGTTCTAGTGCTGCAAGAAGCAACTTTGTAGGGCAACATAGTTACCATTGATGTGTTATCATCCACATATAGAAGTGAATGTACTTTTCTGGGCATGAATATATGTATTGCTTTATTTTCTTGCTTTTGGTTTTCGTCTCAAATTTGATGCTAAAATATCAAAACATAATTACCTTCAATTTTTGGTTTTTGTATTTCCATATTAGTCAACTGTTTAGCATCTGTTGCTTCTGCCAATGTGATTTCACTTGCATCCTTTAAATTCTCTGTGGAGTGTAGTTCAAGTGTCTTTTGTGCATCCGCATCATATCTTAATTTTGTGCTGCTTTCTTCAGTCACATGTCCTTGCAATTGGCTATCTACTTGTTCTTTTACTATGTTGACATTGGCCTTGGTTTCAGGTTGATTAGGTTCCTGATTGAATATATACATTGTACGAATGGAATGTGCATAATAAGTAGATTGTATATGATTTTTTTAACAGCACATGGATATACATGTAATATTTACTTGTTTACTTATTAAAGCCTAACCTCAACAACAGTTGACATTCTATCAGTTTCATTTTCTGGTATGTAGCTCTTGTCATTTTCAAATGCTTCTAATTCAATGTCTTCATGTTGTTGCTGGGAGAGTTGGATTGTGTCACATTGGACATTTGTAGGAATTGACAATTTTGGCTTGACATCTTTCTCTAGTAGACCTGTCATATACATGTTAAATGTATGATTGCTAATGTATTTTTTGTTTCAGTGATTCTGATAGATAACTTGTCTGAAAAACATCAAATTTCTACCATACTGCTGTGCTATTTTACTACTTATGAGTTACAACAGAGTTATTGTAGTAACTTTTAACACTGCCACGCTGATACAGTAATTTTGTTTATTGTAAGTCATTTGTTTGGTTTTTAAATTGTAAGCTTTAACTACCATTTCTCTGGAAAAATTGGTTTGCTCTAGGATATTTGAGAAAGCTATGAACTTTTGAAATGGACACTTCAAGTTTCTTGGCAAAAAGTGAAAGTGACTATCAAGTAAAAATATTTGTGAACTTGGAGTGCATACTTTCGGTTGCAGTGTTTGGTAACTGTGCTATTATTGGGTTTTCAATCCATTTTGCTTCCTTTCGATCGGATTTTCCATCATCCTCCTCTATCACTGGATTCTCCTTGGCATCAGATGCTAGAACTTCTTGTTCCATGGTATCATTAGTGCTTATTTCTGTTGTCACTTCATCCGAATGCTTTTGCTCAGTGAATGTGATCTCCTCTTTCGGTTTTGCAGGCTGGGATTCTATTTTTTGTTCATTTTCCACATTGAGCTCCGACTCTCCCTGTACCAGATATGTTGGTGTTAACAAATACTGTGTGAAGATTTAAAGATATTGAATTCTTTGACAATAAGTTGTATTTTTTTTTTGTTCCGAGTGAATGGACTCATGATTTGCTTGGGCAAGTGTGAAAATAAAAAATATTATTTGTTTTAGTTTTTCTAGTTTAGTTTGTTGTAAATTGCTCAAACCTCATTAATCAGCTTTTTGACATGGAATTCATATTGTGGTGTTTGTACCTCTTTGGATGCCACTGCCAGTTCAGTTTCTGGCTGTATCTCTTCTTGACTACTCTGATCAACTGCTTCGTTTTTGACTGTCACTGCAATCAATAATGATTGCAGGGCTTCATATTGAAGCACACCTAACAATAAAGAAATGAGAATTTAGAAGCAATCATTTACTCAAGGTTGCATTATTTTTTTTATTACATCTATATGTTTTCTTAAAATTAGAAAGGTCCTAGTGCTCCTAGATGTTGCATTATAGGGTCACATAATTACTATTTATGTGTTATCATCCATATATAGAAGAGAATAAATTTATAACTAATCTAATGACACTATTTTTTTTTTTTGTGGATAAACTCATCTTATTATTTTGCTTTTCCTTCTTGAATATGTGCATTATGTTAGTTTCTTACCTTTGATTTTCTAGTCAAATTCAACACTAAAATTTCAAAACTTGAGTACCTTTAGTTTCAGATTTTTCTATTCCCACAATAGTCAACTTTTTCGCATCTGTATGTTCCTCTAATGTGATTTTGTTTACATCCTTGTTCTCTAAATTCTCCGAGTGTGGATCTACTTTATTGTGTTCATCCACATCATAACTTAATTTTGTACTGCTTTCTTGGTTCACACGTCCTTCCAAATGGTTGTCTGCTTGTTCTTCTTTTACTATGCCAACTTTGGCCTCAGATCCAGGTTGATCAAGTTCCTGATTAAATATATGCAATATAGGATTTAAATTTTTTTTATCTATATATATATATATATATATTGAGTATATAATAGTTTTTTCCCCCTCATATTGCAGAATAGTGGACATTGCCTAACCTCAAGAATAGTTGACATTTTCTGAAGTTCATTTTCTAGGATGCAGTTCTTATCATTTTCAATCGTCTCGGATATATTGTCATGTTGGACAACTGCAGGAATTCACAATTTTAGTTGGACTTCTTCCACTAGAATACCTATCATTATACATTTGAAATGTTTGTATAGCTAATCTATATCCTTTTTTAGTGATTCTGATAGACAACTTGTCTGGAAAACATCAAACTTCTATTATATCGCCATGTCATTTTGCTACTAACGACAAAGTTATTGCAGTAAGTTTTAATATTGCCTCTTATGATACAGTATTTTTTTCTTTGTGTAAGTAATTTGTTTGCTTTTGAAAATGCAAGTGTCAGATGCCATTTCTCAACAAAAAATGGTTTGCTTGCGAATATTTGAAAAAACTATGGGTTTTTGAAAAGGATAACTAAAATTTCCTGGAAAAAATGAAACTGATTATGAAGTAAAAAGTTTGTGGATTTGGAGCACATACTTTCTGTTGTAGTGTTTGGTAATTGTGTTTTTCTTGGGTCTTCGTTCCATTTTGCTTCCTCTTTAATGAATTTCTCATCATCCTTGATCACTAATATCTCCTTAGCATCAGATCCTGAAACTTCTTGTTCCTTTGCACAATTAATGAGGTTTATTTCTGTCGTCACTTCATTTGAATGTGGTAGCTCTGTTAATGTGATCTCCTTGTTTTGCATTGCAGACTGAGATTCTGATTTTTGTTTGTTTTCCGAATTAAGGTCCATCTCTTCCTGTACCCAATATACATGTTTCAACAAATAGTGTCAGAGCTGAAAGATGTGGAATTCTCTGACAATAAGTTGTAATTTTATCTTTTTTTGGTGTTTGAATGGACACATAATTTACTTGTGCAAGTGTGTAAACAAAAAGTATTATTTGTTTTATTTTTTCTAGTTTAGCTTGTTGTAAACAGGTCAAACCTCGGGAATTTCCTTTTTCAGATCAAATTCATATTGTGGTGTCTGCACCACTTTGGATGTCACTACTAATTCAGTTTCTGGCGGTATTTCTTCTGGACTACACTCATCAACTGCTTCATTTCCAACTGACTTTATAGTGGGTAATGATTGCAGGGCTTCATCTTCAGGCACACCTATCAATAAACATCAGATATTGATAGCAATCATTTACACAAGGCTGTGTGTCTTACATTTTAATACATGTGTATGTTCTATGAAAATTAGAAAGGTCCTAGTGCTGCAATAAGCTGCTTTTTGAGGCCTTGTAATTACCATTTATGTGTTATGATCCACTTATAGAACTAAATAAATTTTTTAGTACTCTACTGACACTAATTTTTTACTCATGTCAATTAAAGTATATATATTTTTTAATCTAAATTCATGTGATTATTTATCTTTTCTGGGTGTCAATATATGCATTTTGTTTGTTTCTTGCTTTTGGTTTTTGAGTTAAATTCGATGCTAAAATTTCAAAACTTAATTACCTTCAATTTCTGATTTTTGTGTCACTAAATCAATCAATTGTTTGACATCTGTTGTTGTCTCTAATTTGATTTCCCTTGTATCCTTGTTCTCTAAATTCTCTATTGAGTGCAGTTCTTCTTTCTTCTGTTCATCCATATCATAACTTAATTTTGTGCAACTTTTTGATGTAATATGTTCTTCTGATTGTTTGTCAGCTTGTTTGTCTTTTGTTATGCTGACGTTGGCCTCGGTTTCAGGTTGATTAGGTTCCTGATTGAATATATGCTGTATAAGAATGAAATTTGTATAACAAGCAGAATATAAATGAATTTATTCTAATATTGCATATATATATATATATATATATATATAATATTTACTTCTTTAAATTACTGCTGCCTAACCTCAACAATAGTGGGCATTTTGTCAAGTTCATTTTCTGGTATGCAGGTCTTGTCGTTTTCAATAACTTCTGGGTCATTATCGTCAAGTTTATGTTGCTGTTTGAGTTGTTCTGTGGCACACTGGATAATTGCCGGAATGAATTTTGGTTTGACTTCTTCCTCTGGTAGACCTGTAATTATACATATGAAATGTTTCTTTATTTAATATATTTTTTTCAATAACTCTGCCAGGCATCTTGTTGGTATAACCTAAATTTTTTACCGTACTGCAATGCCATTTTACTACCAAGGACAGTTTTTATAGTAACATGTAATGCTGCCCCCGCTATACAATATATTGGTTTAGTGTAAGTCATTTGTTTGCTTTGAAATTGTAAGTGCCAAATGCCATTTCTCAACAAATTTTGTTTCTCTTGAGAATATTTGAAAAACTAAGAACTTTTGAAAGGGACCAATAAAGTTTCCTGAATGAATTTGACTAAAACAATTCGTGAATTTGGAGCACCTACATTCTATTGCAGTGTTTGATATTGGTGGATCTTCAATTTGTTTTGCTTCATCTTGATTGAATTTCCCATCATCCATAGTCACAAGTTTCTCGTTGGCCTTAGATGCAAGAACTTCTTGTTCCTCAGTTTCTCTAGTGGGGTTTATTTCTTCTGTCTCTTCATTTGAATGTGGGTGCTTTATGAATGCGGTCTTCTCATTCTGTGCTGCAGGCTGGGATTTGTGTTTCTGTTTGTTTTCCGCACCGAGCTTCGTCTCTTCCTGTACCCCATATCCCAGTTTCAACAAATACTTTGTCAAAGCTTGAAGATGATGAATTTTGTACTAATAAATTGTATTTTTTTTGTGCATGTGAATGGACACATAATTTACTTTTGCAAGCTTGAAAATTAAAGGTATTATTTGTTTTATTTTTTTCTAGTTAAAATTGTATTTTGCTCAAACCTCATTGAATTCATTTTGTGGTTTCTGCATCTCTTTGGTATATTTCGCTGCTAATTCTGCTTCTGAATGTATCTCTTCTTGACTACTCTCTTCAACTGCTTCGTTTCTGACTGATATTGCAGTGCGTAATGTTTGCTGGGCTTTATCTTCAGACACAACTGTCAGTGTAAAAATTAGATTTTGGAAGCAATCATTTACACATGTATGTATATGATACTACTCTAATACATCTACATGTTATCTTGAATATTAAAAGGTCTGAGTTCCCCAACGAGCTGCTTTAAAGGGCTACATAATTAATATTTATTTGTTATCATCCACATAAAGAAGTGAACAACACTGAGTCATCTAAAGGCTCTAGTTTTTATTTTTATGTAGATTAAAGAATTTTTCTCTTATCTAAAGGCTCTAGTTTTTATTTTTATGTAGATTAAAGAATTTTTCTCTTTCATCTCAATTCTTGTGTTTAGTTTCTTAGCCAGGCATGAATGTATGCATTCTGTTTGTTTCTAGCTTTCTGTTATCGTGATGCTAAATTTCAAAACTAAATTACCTATGGTTTCTGATTTTTGTATCTCTGCATCAGTCAATTGGTTGGCATCTGTTGTTTCCTCTAATGTGATTTCACTTGTATCCTTCTTCTGCAAATCCTCTATGGAGTGTGGTTTTACTGTTTTATGTTCATCCACATCATGACTTAATTTTGTAGTTCTTTCTGATGTCACATGTCCTTCTGTTACAAAATTTGTAATCACACGCTTCATGCTTGATCCTTCCAATTGGTTGTTTTCTTGTTCTTTTATTATTGCATTCTCTGGCATGATTTTTCCACCATTTTTTATTTCTGAATTATCAACAGAGTACGATTCTGCAATCTTTTCCAGTGCTTCCTCATCATGATTTGATTTTATACTGCTTTCCCTTGTCAACATTCCTTCTGAATTGGAATGCTCTGTAATCACATTATCCATTCTGGGTGCTTCCAATTGGTCAGTATGTTCATTATTTGCAGTGTCTTTGCCCATGTGTTGGGTTAAATCAATTGCCTGTTTTAACAAATGTTGCATCACAATAAATTCTGTATTACAAAATAGGAAACTAAATGATTGTTTGTTTGCATGGATGCATAAGCATGGGCATGTTGTGTGTTAAGGAGAATGCAGTTATCTACTCAAATATTGTATTTTCATTACTGTCATACCTCAAGATCTGTACTTGTTTGCTCAAGTTCACTTTGTGGTCTACAGCTCTGGTCATTATCTATTGCTGTTGATTCTTCTTCCTCGTGTGTATCTCTCTCAGAGCTTTTTTCAGCCATCTCACCTTGTTTTATTGCCGCTTCAGGAAATGTTGAAGTGGATTCATCCTCAAGCTCACCTGTCATTATATATTTGAGATGTTTGTAGCTATCATTCCCACAAAGTTCAGGAAAGTTATTCTTCTAATTTTTTAGTAAATCTGGTAGGTTCTTGTCTTAAAAACTGGAACCTTTCCTTGTTCGATATACGTACTTGATTTTGGTATTGATTCCGGTTTAACCAGTCCTTCTGAATCTGTATGCCTTATGATATTTGTCTCTATGCTGTATACCTCAGGCTGGTGACCAGTTTTCTCTTTGCTTTCCCCAATTCCCTTGCTTGATTCTTGACATATTTCTGCTGGAATTGTTTCAGAGATTTCACCAGTCTTGCTACTATCTGCTTTCCTTGTTTCCTCAACCAATAGATATTTAGTATTTACATCATTTTTATTTTCTTGTAGAAAATTTATTTCTTCATTTCCAATATTTTTAACTGGCTCAAACGACGGGACACTCTGCAAAAAAGAAGGTTATCAGCTCATGATTTTTAATTTAAACAAAAGAACCTCATTAATTGCAAGTATATCATCAATATTAAAACTTATCTAAATTAAACAAGGGCACGTGCAAAGATGAAATTTTCCATAGCAAGATCTCATTCCTATCTCTAAAATATTAATTTATTAATGCTATTAGACGTTGAGGTCGTTTTTCTCTTTTTCTGCAGTCTTGTCATGGATGTCTTTTGCCTTAAACGTTCTTTTGCCACTTTTTTGCTTGAAGCTTATACTTCAGTCTTTTCTGGAATCAGAATTATATGGCCTCTATGTTTTTCCTATTCATTTTTCGGCCATAAATCTCTCATCTTTATCATGTTTTCCTGAATTAGTTTTACTTCTTTCAATTGTCACTGAGCACCATTTGAGTTGTTTCCTCTGTATTTTCCGCTTCCATATACATTTATTTAGCCCCACTAATTTTTTGTTTTGTCTGCCCCATCAACTAGTGGCACTGCTATTCTTTTGATGCTGCTTTAGATATCTTTCAGTACTTCCCCTTTCTTAATTGCATCGTCTTCTTTTTTTGCTCAGGCTGTTCTCAATGCTTTGGATATTTTTTTCCATTTCTCACGAGATATCTCATCTATTGTTAGCTTCACCACCACTATTTTCTCCAACATTTATGTAGAGGAATCTTCAGTTTTAGCTGACATGTATATACTAACTCTAGCCCCGATTAACAAGGGCCTTCCATTCTGCTCCATTCATGCTCCTGTACCGATGAAATCCCTGCTTTCTCTCAGTACTACTGTCAAGCTTATTTTTTTAATCTTCATCCTTTGCATGTGTTACTGTTACAAATAAGCTTGTTGCCTGTGGCATCCTTACCTTTTATACATGACCTTATTATTCTTTCATTGTCCTTGCTTGGGTTCTTGGTTTCCAAGTCAAGGTTAGAAATTTAAACTTCATTGATCAGACTGTTACCATTTTCTTGTTGTCCATGTCCTTCTCACCTTTTACACATGGCGCTGTCAATTTTTTCATCATTGTTGCCTGGTGTTATGCTTTCAGACCAAGGTTAGAAATTAAAACTTTATTGATCACAACCAACATTACACTGAAAAGCTTGTAGCTTGTTCATTGTATTTGATGTCAACATCCTTTTTTCCCTTTGGTTTTGTGTTCTCATTTGTCTGTGATAATCCTCATTTTTGTAGTCTCTGAGATCACTTCAACAGATGATGTTAATTGGAGATTACTTGAAGATGATGATCAATGTACTTGTCACTTTAATCTCCCCACACGCCGGTTGCCAACTTTGTGTCAACATGAAGTGGCAAGGAACATGCCCTCACGCAAGAACACATTGTACTTGAAGCATGTATAATGAACTGGCTCACCAACTTTGTCAAAATTCAACTTTTCATTAAAAGAATAAAGGTGGCAAGGATTGAAAATTAGATTTTTTAGTCAGAGGCTATAATATCATGTAAAAAATCGACTGTGCCAAAGGCTTAAGATATTAGGTAAAGACAGATGAATGGTTTTATAAACACAACCCTTGAAATTTTTGCTATATTGTCCACATTGTGGTCATATTCTTCTGTTTGTCTTTGTTAACGAATTTTATCATTCTGTCTCAATGTTCTGTTTCATTTTCAGTTATCTGCTTTAATGTTTGATTCAATATATGAGCAGCCTGACAATTTCCCAATTTACATACGTTTTCTATTGATGATCTCATTGGGTTAGGATGAAGGTTCGGATCTTTTATCCTTGAATGATCGTAATATCAGAGAAAAAGAGAGTGGATTTCGATTTAATTTACAACTGGATTTGATGGACCCTGCTGGACGATATAGATTTGGAATATTGTCAAAACTGGTTGAGTATTTATTTTCACGTGCTGTTTTCTGCAAATCATAATGTTACCTAATTTTCTAAACAAATGTTTTAATTTGTATTTCCCTAGGAGAATCATAGTAAAGGGAATAGAAGCAATTACTTTTTGATGTATTTTTAATAATTGAAATTATGCATTTTATGAAACACCATGCATGTCTTTTAAGTTGTTTAGAAATCACTACTTTTGTTCTTATACAGGACTCAAATATTTAATTCACTAAGATTAAGAAAAATAGTTAATACAGTTGATAATAATAAATGTCTTATTTTTATGTTTTTTTTTTAAAATTACCTTTGTGCTACTTTTCTCTTTTAATTAATATTCATATCTTTAAACAATTAGAGTACATGACATATACTGCTTTTCTCAAAATTAATATTGTTTACTCTTCTAACCAATTAAAATACATATTTTTTAAAAGAGTTTATAATTAATGTATTCTAATAAATTAAGAGAACATGTTTTAATTATGATTATTATAGTTTAAAAGTAATTAATATATCAAAAATTATGAATTGAGTTTTATATAAAGGAATAAATAAATAATTGTTCTAAATTGAGTCTTATAAATTGGAATACAAGTATTAAATCTTAAGAAAATGGATTTAGACTTAATTCAATCTTATAAAATCAGCTTTTAAGTTGAGGATTGTTTCCTATTTATATACACTATACTAACCATCTCGTTGATTGATGTGAGATTTCTAACATTAAACATTCATTTAGACTTTTTATATTTTTAAACTCAGTGGTTCCTCTAATACAATAATACTTGTAAGAAAAATATACTAGCAGCAGTTATACTTTACAGTTTCCATAAGTAAATATACTTTGCATTGATAAAGATATATTAAAAATTGTTTTAGGTAATGATATACTTCAATACAAGTTTTATGTGTAAGTAATATATGTTAGTGTAATGGTCTTTCCTTTCTTCTGCTAGATATTGATGGAAACTAAACCGAAACAGGCTTGATGCACTTATACCAATTTGGGGGAAAAGTGCCATACAATATATAGATGGTTTATTGCATTTAACAGTTTGTGATCATCTCATTTTTTATCGTAGTATACGCATTCCTCCAGTTTTGTGGCTATGTCCATAAATATATTGGAGTTTTTGTCCGATAAATTCCTCTCTTTTTCTCTGATATGAATGCTAAATTCATCTCTGATGCCGAGTTTCCCTATAAAATCAATGAATAGGATCATTTGAAAGTTTTTTGTGGAGGGATCTCTGTTTCCTATCATGCTATTCTAATATTGTTTTCTTAATGTCTAATTGACCGAAGTCACCATATTATAAGTGGCATAATAGCAACATACCTCATTTCACATAGATCGGTCATGGCCTTTATAAGAATTGAGAATGTTCTGGCCTAACTCAACCCAGGTGTGGTACTTTGTTTTCATACTAAACCATAGTGGAGTCTTAACACCCGAACCTAAGAAGTCTAAGACTGGACATGTTTTTCTCTGTGAAAAATACTTTTCACTTTTAGTTGTTTAAAATCAACTCTAAGGGTTGATATTAGCAAAACTGATTTATTAATCATTCTTCATTTGGAATCCTTATTTGTTTAAATTTTTTCCGGCTGGGGCATTATTCTGTACATGACTGCAATATTTCAGTGATCCTGAAAATCCTAACTGTTCAACTGAACATCCAGAAGGCCATGCATCTAACACTAACATGGAAATAATTGTTATGATGAAGAAATTTCAAATGTATGTTTGGACAGAGATAACCAAGTTTACCAGGAGCATCAAGCAGAAACAAGCACAAGACTTTGGACAGAGATAACTAATGAAAATGTTTACTTCAGCTATATACATGCATTATCAAGCTAATTCTGCAAGAATCCGGATTAAAAATAGAAAGACTTACCATAGCAGATGCATTTTCTGGAGAATTGGTTTCAGCTTCCATGTACGCCTGACCAACTCGGTAGAAGATGAAATTGCATAAAGAATATTGGTGAATTCAAGCTTAGATTTCTAGCTTAATTCTGTTTGCTCAGCCTGCCAGAGCTTAGTGAATTATAATCGAAACTGAGCCTCAGTATTTGGTGTATATATATGTGTGTGCATGTGTATATTATTAATATACTTGGATAGCAATATTAAGAAAGTGCCTTAGAAGTGACAGTACCACTTGTAATATGGTAATACATATCAAGAGTAGCCCACAAATGCAATGGTCCTAATGATAGATCAGTCACATGCCTATCTTATAATATTCAACTTTATGTGATCAATTAATCTATAGTATTCGAACAGTTTTAGTCAGGCAGGGGAAGCAAGGATAAATATTCATCCTTGAGGTTGGCATTTGTGGAGTTAAGGATCCTACTTTGAATGTTATTGGTTGGTTGCCAAACTTTTCAATCTGCTACTGGCTTTAGTGACTAAAAAGTATTGGCATATCTTCCCAACAGTACTTAATAGTAAATTTTAGAAGCGATAGTTCCGTATTTTTAATGAAGTTAGCAAGTGAACCAGTACTATCATATGTCTCTAAATTCAGTTTGCTGTTGTAGAAAACAAGTGTATGTCGACGTTTGCACATATAATTGTAAACATAAATGAAATATGAGATGAAATATTTAAAAGTATGGCAAATAATTGTTTAATTAATAAAATATGTTTCTGATAATAATATGTAAATATTTCATTAATGTTATTTGGAGATCTTTAAAGACAAATAATAAGTTATAAGATATGTTAATTTAAAAAAGACAGGTATATGAGAAAGAAAATACGACTCGTATTTATGAGATAGTGGTGAATTGAACTGCAACTCTTAGAGTGTAATTTTTTTCATCACATGAATTTCAAGATATTAACTGTGTTTTTAGTCTTTGATCAGGGTAATCTGGACAGAAATTTATGGAGTGCGGATCACTAACTAGCCAGAGTCAATCTTCATTGGTATATTCTTAAACAGGTAAATAATATTTTCAAGTCCCATATTAGTTATCAAAAGCAATTATGTGAGGGAAAATATTCATAAAGGCATTATGTCTGTAATAATTGATTGGTTTGAAATATGTCCAAACCAAATATTATATATCATTAATTTTGATAGCTTAAGATATAATCATACAGTGAGCGTCACAGCATGGTTTAAGTTCTGTGGCACGTGGATATGCATAATTGGGTTGGAATTTATCACATTAGTGGCGTCTCAGATATGAATTCATTGAATTGTAAGCCAGGATTTCAACCGAAAGGCGTGCTGCAATTTAGACAGTTCTGGTAAACATGATGCTAACCGTTCTAGACTATGTTCAAGAATGGTGGTATATTCTCTAGTAATTCAAGTCATAATTTTCATAATTATTCAAAAGAGAAGTATGTCTTTTTTTTTTCTTCCCCAATTAATATTACCTGTCTTAAGTAATTAAATGAATGTTAGATTTGTTATGGGAAGACAAAATTATTATGTATTAGATGGTTATCTCGCCAATAATTATCAAACTAAGATAAATATGATAAACGGTAGAATTGGATATGCATTTTTTGCAAGTGCATATAGGAAAATTAAATTTTAAAAAATGAAATAAAATTTTCTATAAATTAAAAGTTAATTTCTAAAGAAGTTAATATGAAATAATTGCAAGTGCATATAGGCAAATTAAATTAAAAGAAATGAAATAAAATTTTCTATAAATTAAAAATTAATTTCTATAGAAGTTAAGATGAAATAATTTCTACAAATAAGCAATGAATAAATTCATTTTACTTTTTCTTGTAACTTTCTTTGAGGTGTTTATATTAAAATTTATCTTAATAGACTCACTCTTCTTGCGTAAAAGTGCAAAATTATTTGTTTTTTCAATGTATATTTTTTTCTTTTTACTATTAGGGAGTTCTACCTTAGGGAGTACTCTACAAGTGCATATTGGGAGATTAAATTAAGAAAATAAAATAAAATGAAGTTATTATGAGATAATTTCTTCAAATCAAGTTATAATAGATAGTGAGTAAATCATATAAGTGAGTTACATGTCACTCTCTTGATCCATTCACTGTGGATTTGATATAGCGAGTAAGTCACACAAATGAGTGACACTATAACATAACAAACCTTAAGACATTAGGTAAATAGGTCTTTTTCACTCATATACTACTCAATATGTTTAACTTTAATCAATATGATACTTTACTTCACACTTGAACTCCAACCGTTACATCTCAATTGTTTTACACTCTACAGAGATATAGTGCGTAAACTTTTTACAATCTAGTAAGTGCTGATTCGTACTCATATCCATGTTGAACATTATGTATGCTAAAATATCCGCCATTCAAATTATAAACTCAAAATCATAAAATTACGCATATTAGGAAATTTTATACTTGATATAAGTTATGCATATTCACATTGATTTGTACCATTCAAAACTGTCTTATTTTTTACTTATTTCTTTTCTTGCATAAAAGAGTAAATATAATTTTTTTATGGAAATTAAGAATAAAATTATGGATTTGTTTTGATAAGCTTTCCGAGAAACATCTCTTAGGAAAGTGAAATAAGAAAAAAAATTGAAATAAATTTCTTCAAAAGATAAAATTAGCTCGTACATATGTTTTTTTTTTGAAAAAAAGGTAGATGTTTGATAGTATCACTATGTGAGAGAAGATTATAATTAATATGAAAGAATTTTACTAATTAATTTGTGTATAAATTAATTTTAATTTATAAAGAAATTTATTTGATTTTTTCTTTTTTATTTTTCTCTTCTAAAAGTGCTTGTAGAATAATTTACCAAAACAGATCCTATTTCCACAACCTACAAGCTTTATGATATGATTTATTTTTGTAAGTGCTGATGTGGACGGTGGAGGTCGGTCACGGTCAGCCACACCAAGGTGGCCCATGGTGAGGTGTACTCCATGCTGGATATGTTTTTCCAACAATAACTTTCAGAATCGGTTTGTCTACTATCCAACACAAGGAACTAGTTCATTGAGACCACAAATAAGAAAAGTGGTTTCTCTTGGCAATGAGCTCATTTTTGTGTTCAACTTATTGTCATCTAGTGATAATTTGCATCCCTATTCATTAAACAAAAAGTAACAAAACAAAGAAACAATCATTTTCGGACCGACCAAAGCTGAATTATTAGGACCTTCCTCGCCGCCCCATACGTCATGGTTGGAATGTTATCATTACAAGTGGGTTTAGCCTTTTACTATACTAATAAATGAGTGATTATTGGTCTTGCAATGGTTGTTTGTGACAGCAGAAATGAGTTGCGTTTCTTACTAAAAATGTGTTCGGTTTTTGGATAAACAGAGTTGTGATTCTGAGACAAGCTGAGTCACTCGTGATATAGATAGGTTCATGACTACTCTAACTCCGTTTGTAAGTGTAGAATGTGTCAAAAGATAAATTCAACAGGAGTGTTATAGCTGATAATTTAATGTCTTTTCGGAAAAATATCAAATTATGAAGAAAATTAATAGAACTTCGACAATTTTAAATGATTCGGATGAATTTAAAACTATTATAATATCATGTATTCGGAAATGAGTTTCGATTTAAGTTATTGTAACCAAAAAAAAAAAGCTCAATTTCAGTGAAGAATGGTTTCCATTAATTTAGCTTACGAGTAAGAGTGGTGCTACCATAAAATTTGACATAATTTGTTTAAAATTTGTGAAGACGTTAAATTGTGTGCCTTTATAGGAGATGAGTCGTAGTATGGTGAGAAAAGCTTTTAGGGATGGATTTCTTGATGTCTCCCTAGTTGAAACTTTGTTGGTTTTAATTCTTAAGATTGACATGCAGATGACCTAAATTTCACCCCATTAGTTTGTGTAATGTGACTTACAAGGTAATTTTAAAGGTTTTGGTAACTTGTATAATTAATAGGCCTTTCCCATAAAGCTTTATACATGAGAGAGGTCCCTTAGATAACAGTATCTTTTCAATGGGACACACAAGGCCTGAACACTCGTTAGTACTTCACTATTCTTCATCTTCTTTTTTGCTTCACTCCCAAACTTCCTCCGTTGTGGTCATGACTGCTCCCATCCTTTTGCCATCCTCGGCCTTAGGCTTTCATGTTCCCTTTTCGGTGCGACCATTCTAGTTATTTAGAGATTTTCATCATTTTACGTTTCAATTATTTTTTTTATTTTCTTTGATTTGAATGTGAATTGATATAAAAGTAACCTATAGTTTAAGATGACCTCAGGCCTTCTATCTTTATCTCTAACTTATTCCTCTTTCATCTTCTTTGACATGGCCTTTATGATAGGCCATTTGGAGGCTAATATGTCATTATCTCTTCTCTTTTCAAGAGGATTTGTCCTTAAATATGTATATTTTCCCTCTTTATCTTCAACACTTGTAAATGCACTACTAGAAGGATTGTATTCTAAGTCGGTTATTTTGCCATATTTACATCGATTTTAAAATCGACTTAGATAAGGCCGGCGTAAATGAATGAACATATCTACGTCGGTTAAGTAAAAACCGACTTAGATGTATTTATACATTTAAGTCAATTTTAACAAAACTGTCTTAGATGTGCACATCTAAGTCGATTTTTATCAAAACTGACTTAGATGTATATATGCACATCTAAGTCATTTTTTTTTTATCAAAATTGACTTAGATGTATATATGCACATCTAAGACGGTTTTTACGTAGAACCGCTGTAGATTGTATTTTTTTTAACCAGGTTAATTTTTAAAATAAAACTGATTCAATTATAAATAACCTGCAAAAATTGATTCATTTATCCAATGTAAGAGAAACCAACAGAGACAAATTTGAGATCGTTATCATTATAGAAATGGCTCAATTACATCATTATATAATATATATAATACTAAAGAAACAATATACTTGGAAATCAAGAGAGGCTAATCTAGTATCCATAAAGAAGAGTTTTTCTCTTACAAGGAGAAGAGAAGATCAAAAAAATTAGGTCACACTACATTAGACATGCACTGGACAACCTAATACTGAAACCACATTCACCTATTTCTAAATTTTACATGTAATACTAGACCTTTCAACATGATCTATTTCTAAATTTTTCTAAAAACAAATTTTCCCAATGAATCCGAATGTCTTCCAATTTGGTTTCCCCCAATGGTGTAGCATCTTCAAAAAGCTACAACATATATACATCATATATTAGTTACATCATAAAAGGCATTAAAAGAAATTAACAATATTTTTAAATGTACCTCACTCCAACCATTTCTTACTCACCCTTCAATTATTTCTGACATCCAATTCATGACATAGTATCCACATTCATAATGTCCTTGTTGTTTATAACTCTAAAATGAACACCAAATAAAGTAGTATAAATAGTTTTGTTTAATTAAGGTAATAAAAGAATTTGTTAGGCACATTGACTTTAATTACGAACCACTTACTTACCATGGGGTAAATCCATTCTAAGTTCTTTGACAGTGCAGTAGATATACCACTCATGACATTATACACAGCCATAACACTAAAGAAAATAAAATGAACGTAAGTTACATAATTAAAATTTTATAATAAAGAGCATAAAAGTAAAAAACGTATTACAAATTAAAGTTTACCTTTTAACTAAATGTTTGACATGTATAGTGGGCTTATGATGCAAAGAACAAAACCATACAGCAACATTACTCATAGGACAAAGAACCAACAACTGCCAATGATTTCTACATTGAGCCAAAATTAGTTAAACAATATATATATAAATTACATAAATTAAATGCAATAAGAAACATGTACTTACTGATCAATGTAAGGAGCCAAGTAAATTTGCTTCTGGGAGTTCTTTATCCTATCATTTATATAATTTATAGCCTCTTCTTTCTTATTCCCCGATTTTTGTATGGATTGGGGCTCCAAAAATCCATACAAGTCATCATAGCCATGCTCTTCAATTTTTTGATTTAGATAACTAAAATTTATAAGAGAAAAGTAATTTAGAATGAATCATAATTAATTAAATAAATATTGATACTAATAAGAATTGTGTACTTACAACATCCAAAATTGTATGATTGAGATGTTAAGCATTTTTCGTTCTATTAATTCACATATATCATCAAATGTAATATAGAACACAAAATCATTAGCACCAACACCAAATAGACTTCCAGGACATATCACTTGAAATGGTCAAGTTGGATAAGTAACCAACCTAAAACAAAAAAATGTTAAATAGTCTTTATATAAGTCGGACAAAGTCACCTTAAATGGGTTGCCATAAGTTAAAGTCAATGATGCCTCACGCAAATCACATATAGGATCATTATTGGGTTTGGACCTATGAACTGTTGGAATATCCTATGTCTTCTTAGATGATGAAATATGTCTCACAAGACGTCTTGGCCATGCAATGAAAGCCTGTAGGGCCTGTCCAACCAGTTGAACCTCTGAAGTAGGCATAGGAACATGAGCATCAAAATCTCGAACAAACTCAACAACCACCTTGACCAAATCATATGTTAGAGGTACATGGTGTATGGTTGAACTACCCTCATAAACTCTACCAATGGCCACTACACGAGGTGGTATATCATCAATGCATAACTCACATAGATAAGAGATATCAACATGAGGCTTATCCCCTAATGCATTACCAGCCGCAGCAGTGGCACTTGAAGGAGTTGGACAACTACCTTTACTACTACCAAGGACCAGATCTACTTGAACTGGAGGAACATCCTGTGTCTGTGTATTACTGATATCATTTTTCTTGAGTAGTGCAACAACTTGCTGTGTGAGGAGTTCCAAATCCTTGGGAGTTAATTTAGCTATGGATAATCCATGTGACTGGCGTTGTCTATAGTACTGACTAATAGTAGTACCAACACCAGCTGTACGAACATGACCAGGATGCTCTGGTCGTCCAAGGGCAGTATTCAATATATCTTGACGCCCGTCGGGAAAAAAGGAACCCTATGATGCTTGCTCATCCAACTCATTCTACAATAAACAAATTTAGTTTACAATATATCGTAGAATAAAAAATTTGAGCAACTAGGTAAATAGTTTTATTTTATAAAAAAAGACTTACAATTTTTTTAGCAATTTGGTTAGCTGACTCGGAACTCATTTGGCCTGAACTTTTTGTGCGAGCCATCACTCATAACTTATGACGTGGAGGAGGAGGTGGAGGATCAATAACTACATCCTGACTAGCACCAGACTGTATTGCTTCTTCCTTTAGTCTCTTTAGTTCATTTTTAGAATAATTTATCACTAAGAGACCATAACCCCCACGAGATAATAGGTGAGGGGCATCATTATGTTGTTGGATAGCCTGTGCTTTTTCTCTTATAGCCTGCAATAATTGAATAACACCAAAAAATAATGAGAAAATACCCGTGTTGTATTATAAATTTTAAAAATAATAAACACAGTTTACCTGCCATTTAGGGTCATTCCTGATTTGTTTGAATTTTCCCCAATCTTCAGGGTCGATGTTATACTTATCCCAAGGACTATTACATTTCTGTTTCCCATTTATCCAAACCCTGGTAAGAAAAGACTTATATTGCCTAAATCTTGTAGAAACATGTTGAAGGATCTTTTTACTAAATATAGAATTATACTAAATATGATAGAATTAATAAACAAAAAATTTAAATTGAACAATTAATAGTGATAAATTTAAACTAATCATACAAAGTTTTCAAATAATGATATACTGTCAAATGATGTAAAGGTAATGGAAATACCAAAATATCCTGCCAAATCAAATCCTTAGTAGCCTGTGGGACTTCTTTCCAAGAAGGAACTAAAATGTTAATCTTGTCTCGAGCAAGGGTTCCTAAATAACTTGCAAATTGAATGTTGTTTGGCCCTGAAGTTGTCCTAGTATTAGGATCCACATCAATTTTTATTTTTTGTCCCTTCATGCGTTTAAGGGCTACACTTTTCAACCGTGTTGGCGATCTTTTTTTCCTAGGTATAGCCTCTAAGGTAGGGAGTGTAGGATCAGAGGTGTCTTCAAGAGTATCCATGTGTCTGTTTTGACAAAAAAAAGAAGTAAGGTCAATTAAAAAAAGTAATAAAAATTAAATTAAAACATGAAAAAATTATGAATAGGATATTAAAATCTACAAGATAAACATAACTTATGTGTGACAATTAGATAGTAATGTTTTCCCATATGCCTTCATCATGATCATTACGAATGTCATGAACGTCATCTTGCTCAATTTCTTCATTGTTAGTAGCCATACGTGTTGAGAATGAAAGGCTTTCCCAAAACTTAATTGTTGAATCATCAACATTGTGCACACTTCTACCTTGGAGAACAATGGACCACCTTTCATCAATGGGATCTTTGACATAAAATACCTGTGTAGCTTGGTTTGCCATGATAAAAGGTTCTTCTTTATGACCCACCTTGCTAAAGTTTACCATCGTAAATCCCATTTCATCAGTTCGCACACCTGTGTTAATATCAACCCACTTGCACTTAAAAATAGGAACTTTAAATTTAGTATAATTGATCTCCCAAATTTCTTCAATGACTCCATAATAACTTGTGGATGCCACAACAGGATTTTTATCATTCCTACTAGAAAAATGCATAGATTGAGCTTGAAGAGTGACCCCACTATTTTGCATGGTACTGTTGTCATATTGTGATTTTGTGTAAAAGGAAAACTTATTGATATCATATCCAGTATAAGTATAAACATTATACTTAGGCTCTTTAAAGTTTCAGAAGCACTATCATCACTGAAGACTTTTTCTTTAAACCATTTTAAGAATGTCTTGTTATGCTTGTTGACCAATGATTTTTCATTCATTCTGGGGTTATTTTTCTTCAAAACAGTTTGGTGTTCAGATATGTAAGGGAGGACCTCATCAGTGTTGTTTAATATATACAAATGTCCTTGAAGTAATTCCTTTCGAAGAATGAATTTAACTTTTAAGCCTTTTGTACCCTGGCCTTCACATCTATCCTCATGTCGAGACTTTGGAAGCCCTACAGGTTTTGCTTTAGACATGTACTCTGAAAAAAATTCAATAGCTTATTCTGCAATATACTTTTCAACAATTGATGCTTCTGGATGGTATGGATTCTTACTATACCCTTTTAAAATCTTCATGTAACGCTCAATTGGGTACATTCATCGTAAATAAACAAGGCCACACAATTTGATCTCTCTAACTAGATGAACTATCAAATGAATCATGATGTCAAAAAAGGCTAGAGGAAAATACATCTCTAATTGGCATAAGATAATAATAGCCTCATTTTCCAACTCATCCAATTTATCAGGATCAATGACTTTAGCACATATAGCATTGAAAAAGAAGCACAAACGAGTTAACACACTTCTAACATTATTTGGAAAAATGTCACGTATAGCCACATGTAGGAGTTTTTGCATCAAGACGTGACAATCATGAGATTTTAAGCCAACCAATTTGAGATCATTCAATGATACAAGGCTCTTAACATTTGAAGAGTATCCTTGTGGAACTTTCACACCTCTTAGACACTGACAAAATCTCATTTTCTCTTTTTTTGACAAAGTATGACATGCTGGAGGCCAATATGTTCTCTTACCTTCTGACCTTGGATGTAATTGTGAACGTATACCCACCCATCTCTAATAAATCTTGACGAGAAAAGCTGGACAACATAGTCTGCAATCTCCTCTGTTTCATATTCTGTAAAGGCAAAACCTTTTGGTTTCTCCAATTCCTTATCTTTAGGAATGTGCAAGTCTACCACTCGTCCAGCTTAAATTAATATATCATACAAGACCCTGTCTATCACCCTCTCATCTAGATTGCCTGAGTCAAATAGAAGTAATTAAATCAGAACCCAAATGCAGATGCTCTTATTATCTATACTTAAGTATAAACCCAATTATCCAAAAACCTCCAAGAAGATATTTATATATAAATAATAAACATCTCAATCAACCATCATTGAGAATTAAAAACCTGTTACAAAAACCCTAGGAAAATAATAAGATAAATGCCAGCCTGGATAGAATTAAGGATTGACCTGACATTCAGATTCAGAACCAAAAAAAAATTGAACGAGTTGTCTCGGAACCCACTCAATAGCTCAACAAAACAAAAAAATGCGTCAAAGGGAATTTTTGAGAAGTTAACCTAAACACTTTGTTTCTTCACAACTGCAAAGGGAAACACCTCCGACCTACGTTGTTTCTTCGATCCCGTCTCGTTCGAAACACCTCCATCCATCGTCGCTGAGAAGTCACACTCCGCAAGACAAAACGCAAGGTTCTCTTTGCAGTGGCTAAGGTTCTCCGTTGTTTGTCCAGTCTCAGAGGGCTGTGGTTGAGAGGTTGCACGCAAGGATGAGAGAGAACATGACAGCTGCACAAAGACTGAGAGAACTGGTGCAGGGAGGGTTTGGGCAGAATCGTCGAGGCAAGCGCAATCGAGCTTGAGAGCGGTGAGGTAGGGATTGGGGCGGAGTGATGAGTCATTATTTTCCCTTATTTTCTTACCTTTCTGTACTTATTTTAATCTCCGATTTGTGCTTAATTGTTGATATTCTTCACTGTTTTCTATTTGGGCTTTAATTGGACCGGTAATTCATATTTTAACTAATTTGAATTTTCTGAATCTAATTATTCTAAATTTTATTTTCAGGGCAGTTTAATAATTATTT